CTTCGAAAGGTATTGTTATTTCCCAAAAGAATAATTTTTATTGTTGAATACTGAAAATGATCTTTTGTCATTCAGCAAGGGAGAAGGAAATTTGAACTCTTCCAGCAGTAATCGACGTGTTGTGTGTAATTATAAACTTGGTTTATTAGCACAAAATAAAAAGTAAACAAATTATAGAGCCCTCAACCGTAGAGCCATCGGATTTAACCAGGTTTCAAAGGACTGGAAAGAATAGATACAATCTCAGAATATTCTGGAGGGACTGAGGGAAACCACGGAAACCCTTGGACAGGACAATCGGATTCCGGGACTAGATTTGAACCAAAGACCTTTCGAAAACGAAGCACGAATATTTCGACCTCTTGCGGTGATTGTGGTGTTCGAGGGTGTGACACCGTGTCGTCTTGTTGGTGATTGTCAAGGGAGAGACGGCGGCCATCTTAAAGATACAATTTAAATTGAAAATCTTCGTAAGCAGCTACGAAAGAACATGGCGTTACAGTTCAGAAGATCACAACAGCGGTTTCTCCGCCGCGAAAACAGTCTTAGTCTAAGATACTATAGCACAGCAGGTAGCGTCGTGATTAACACAGGCCACCCATTGTTTGCAAGACAGATTTACTAGGCACGTACCTAAAATTTAGGAATAACGAAAAATCCAGAACTTTTTTGTTTGTACTATATTTAACACGTAAGTTGTGTCTTGCGTGGAGTACGAACATTTAGCAAGTTAATGATATAGCCTGCGACAGCAGTGTTACCAACTGCGTGTTCAGAACTCTAACGAAGAATGTGATACGGTAAGCATTTACGTAGATTCTGTGAGCGCGGTTCAAGATGTCAGTTTCTCACTTCTGACGTAAGAACTTAACATAAGATAAGTCTTCGATTTTTGTTTACTACGTTGTAACGCCACGTGACTTGTATAAAGATACTGACGTTTCGGAAGAACTCGCTGCCTCTGTCTTCAGGTCGCATGATCATCCGATACGTTGGTATCTATCTACAAGACCACAAGGCGTTGAAATACAAAAGACGAACATCGGAAACATTAGATGTCATATCAGTGATAATGTATACTGTACGTAGGTCTAACACTCCAGGACGTGTTTTAAATAATGGGGTTTAAACTTGATGTAACCCTGGAAAATATTAATACACTTTATTTTTATTTTTATTTTTTTGGGGGGGTGGAATTCGTATCAAAAATTATTCAAAACCTATGTTCGAGTACAAAATTTTTATAATTTTTCATAAAATAAATTTCAAATGTTTTGACATCCTTTGCCACTTTAATTAGTCTTTTAATTTTCGGGCGGAATTGAACGTATGAATTTCTTTTGCATAATTCTTGATACGTATATCAAGTTACCATTAATTTAAATTATACAAAATATGCCCTGTATTGAGTTTAGTTAGAAATCAGATTCATTGATAAAGATTTCTTATATAGCTTCATAATTCTGAGATAACTGAGCTTTAATATACATTATCGTATATATTATAAGTTATGCATGAAAATAATATCGAAACTTTTATACATGTTTTATTGAAACACGTTTTGCATCATAAATTCTCTCTACTGTCTGCTCCCAATTAAATTCTGTA